TGCACTGTGCTTGATCTCCCTCACGTCGTCGCCGGCTTGCAGCCGCCGCCGGCATCCGACAATCTGGTGTTTCTCGGTGGGGACATGTTTCGCTCCGTCCCTCCTGCTGATGCCATCCTGATGAAGGTATATTTTGGGCGATTTCTTCGGTGCCCTTTCTGAAGTGTCTTAAAACACTCCCTACTTGTCCCAATTATTAATTGACATGTGGATACATATGCCATCTCATTTACTTCGTACTCCCTCCGTTCGCCTAAGATGTTCTCATTTTGACTTTTGGTGGTTTTTAAGGAGAGTTGAAAAAAGGTGAAAGTTTACCATAATATCCTTAATGAAAAATGGGTGGAGTGTATTAAATGAGGTGGGTGAGGTGTAATAAATAAACTAAGTGGGGGTAGTTGTGGTATTTTACTTGTTAAAAAATGAAATGAGAAAATCTATTGTGGACAAAGAAAAAGGGCTATTGAGAAGATCTATGGTGGACAGAGGGAGTATAGAAGTAATTAGTCTTTTTTGCAATTAAGTGCTAGGTTATCTAAGCAAATTAGAACTAATCTTCCTGCCCTTCCGAAGAATCAATTACGGAGTAATTTACAAAATGAAATAATATTGGGTGTTTCCGATTTAATTTGAAGGTCAAAATGAATATTGTAATTAAATATTAAGGACTGCCTCCCATAAATTCAGATAACGAAACAAACTTTAATTTCTCTTCTCGTCCTAAAATGATCTTCCTATTCAATTCGTTTTACGAGATTTGAATAAAATTATTTTCAATTCAATTTAATATAACTGTAAAATTTAAATAAAAATTATATATTTTAAAACTAAATCAAAACTTCTACATTAAAAATATATTATTTTATCAAATAACTAAAGAAAATAAACCAAAAAAATAAAGTTTAACCATGTGAATAATAACTAGAAAATTATTTTAGGATGGGAAAGTATTCCCTTCGTCCCATAAAGATAGGGACGGTTTGACTAAAATGGTAAAATAAGGAGGGATAATTTTGGGTTGACTTTCAAAAAATAACTTTGATATGATAGGTAAAAGTAGGATATGATGTGTAGATTATTAGAAAGAGGTATGATGTGATAATTAGGATATGAAAAAATAAGGGGTAAAAGTGTTTTTTTTTATAGAAATGGGAATGAATTTAAGGAACACAATTTTTTTAAAACGAAAATAACTTTACGAGACGGAGGGAGTATAAAAAAGAGAGGAACCATTTCCTTTATTTTTATTTTTTTGAATTCGGCCAACAACACTTTCTTACATTTTTTATTCTATTAATGCAAAATATTGGACAATAAATCTTCAGAAGAAATAAAATTGAAGTAATGAAATGTTTACGGAAAAGAGAGATGAAAAATGAACCCCCCTAGCAAGAAGATTGGTTCTAATTTGCTTAGATAACCTTAGAACTTAATTGCAAAAAAGACTAATTTAATTCTACTTAAATGAGATGGCATATGTGTCCACATGTCAATTAATAATTAGGACAAGTAAGGAGTGTTTTAAAACACCCACTTCAGAAAGGGCACCGAAGGGTTGATTACCGTTTTGATTTTCCTTTTCTTTTTGTGAGAGTTTTGAAAATTAGCCATAGGCAAGAAATCTATTCCCTCCTAATAAATTTATTAAACCTAAAAAGACTCTAAAAAGACTAAAGTAAGATCAAAACATTAAAAATATACTAAAATAAGAGTTTCATATTTTAATTTCAAAAATACTTCATCCGTCTCTGAAAACCTTTCTTCTTTCTTTTTTCATACTCCATACGTCCCAAAAAACACTTCTTATTTCTATTAAAAAGCCACTTTTACCCCTTACTTTTTTATACTCTACCTATGACATCACACATTTTTACTAATAATACACCCATCAAATCCTACTTTTACCCATCACATCAAAGGACATTTTTGGAAATTCAATACCAAAATACACACTCCTTAAATCTCTTCAAAATCAAAACATCCCATGTTTAAAGAGACGCAAGGAGTATTAGTTAAAATACATTTAAATTATCGAACATGACCATGTAGACTATCAAAAGTATAATAAAACGTACATTTACAGTATCATATTACTAGAATATAATGCAAGCTTTTATTTAAGAAATAAAAACATGAAATTTTTATTTTGGTATTTTCTCTATGTTTTACTCTAATTTAGGATAATTTCTTTTTATTACGGAGTAAAACAATATGTAATTGATTTTAATAAAAATAAGTAAAGATAAACTACATAATCTTTTTATTTGATTTCAATAAAAATAAGTAACAATTTGAAAAAATAAGCTAAAAAATTAGTTTTCTATATACGAATAACTAAGGCCATGTTCTCTTCACCAAATCTCAATGATTCTGATTCCATTGGAATAAATGCTGATCTGATTTGGTCTGATTTGATCTAATCTGAATGTTATTATATTTAAAGTTGTTTCTAATCTGAACTAAACTAATTTTAATAAGAAAAAATAATGAATAATATGAATAAACTGAATCGAGTATGGTCTAGACCTATCCATATACACCCCCTGATGGATACCCGGGAATGGGGGTATCCAACCCAGCAGGAAGACGGCCCAGCCCAACCTCGCCAAGGCCCACTTGGCGGAACCAGGACAAAGACTAGCGAAGATCGCCTCGGCAGTAATGCGCACTCGGCCCCGGCAGGGTCGGTCGCCCTGGGAGCAGCCAGGGCCGGCCTTCCATCCAGAGGCGTCCGAAGGCAGGTCAGGCACTCGGCCTCGGCCACGAGCAGCGGCAGACCAGACCTAGACGAGGGAGCTGGCTTAGTCAGGATCAAGGGGCCCACGATTAGACTTCTGTCATGCCTCTGGCAGAGTTGCTATAGCCACCCTACTTGTAACCTACTTTGTGTAGCAGTCCTAGGGTTAATCATGTGGTTGAACGCCGCCAGTGAACAACCCAATCTTAGTGGGCCCAGACCGTTGGATAACGGACCAACGGTCGGAACCCTAGCTGTAACTTGTATATAAACCTCTTCCCTTCTAAGGAAAGGGGGACTTACGTTCTAACTAATATCCCAACTAGCACATTATTACTCTCAATTTACTTGACCCCTCATACTTTGTGCGCTCGTACTTAGTTCGATACTCATCCGCCTAGTTACCTAGGCCCCCAGGTTCCATAACCCAACATTGGTGCTCTCGTTGAGGTGGACGGGGCCGACCTTGGGAGAGGACTTTGGGTGCCTCGGGAGACTAGGGCTTAAGTGCCTCGTGAGGTGGATGGGACCGACCTCGGGAGAGGACTTTTAATTGCCTCGGGAGACGAGGGCTTGAGTAACTAGCGAGGTGGCTGAGGCCGACCTCGGGAAAAGGGCGAAATGATGTTCCATTCGTGAGCTCCGCTGGACGGGCTTAGTTGCAAATGTCATGTGGTCTTCCGCTTTGTACCTGAAAGACAAAATATGAAAAATTCCTTCGTTGTTGTTGCTTTTTTTGTTTTTTTTAAAGCGGCGTGGCGCCGATAACGTGTGGAAGCATAAAAGTGCGATCTCAGCAGATCTAATAGTTGTCCTAAGCAGGACTGGCAAGATTTTGTCCTAAGCAGGACCTTGCAATACCCTCTGGAGGGATTTGCTCGCGCAATGACGAGGACCACGTGAGGCCATATCGTGACGTGGGAGCCCGATGGTGCACAGCTGCACAAAGTCGCGTGGAAGCGAAAATGAAATCGCGTGGAAGCGATATATTTTTTTATTCTCTTTCTTTTCTTTTCTTTTTGATGAAAAACCCAAGTTGTAGAAGCAAAGTGGCACAAATCTGAGTAATGGCGCAAATCTGAGTAGTGGCGCAAATCTGAGTAGGAATCATATAAATAAGGAGTTGGTGCATATTTGAACTAGATCGTGAAGGCTAGTCGCATCCCAGTGAGATCAGAAGTGATGGAGATCATCGCAGTCGGATATCAGAACATGTACTCTATCGAATGGAAAGAAGAATAGAATAAGATTCCTCAAAGCCCCTTAGGAATCTGAACATGTGTCCGGCCAGGCGTAGTATCCTCGGCACTAACAAACTCGGCCGAATAAGACCGCCACTGCCAAACTGGATCTTACAATACCGCTGCACGAACTCGGCTTATCATGATCTTGAACCCGGACTCGCTCACCCTCCCATGCTCGGTTTGAGCTCTACCAAAATTTATGCGCTCGGCCTCTGGAGTTGCCTCGTACTCGGCCATATCCGTGCGCTCGATCATATGAGATTTTGACTTAGATGCATAAGAGGGGAGGGTGAAAAATATATATAGTCCACTCCGGACCCGGGTGAAGAAGCCAAATAGGTGATGATGAACGTCGGGCATTTCTCAACGAGATTGTCCCAACAGCGGACCCCGAGTAATAGATCCCCTTTCCTGGAAAGTATAACGCCGACCCCCAGTCTGTTCCGCTATCAAACAAGACCTGCATGAGTGTTTGCTGCTCTGCCCTCGGTAATCGCAATTGGAAAAATGTACCCAAAGGGAATTCGTCCCTTTGCCTGTTTGTTCTACTACCGATTGAAGTCCATAGAATGCGGTGGTCCGACGATGGTACTAATGTTGCTCCGACAACAGCGGCAGTTACGATACCTGGTCGTGGTCATAGGCAACTACCGACGGCAGTCACGAGTTCCTAGCTGTTGCGGATGGGACATGAACTCCAGCAGTGACTTCCCGGGAGAGGAGTCCTCGGCTTCCACTGACCAAGACAGATGAACAGGGTATAGCGATGCGTCCCCTAGGTTGTGCGACTTATGAGAAAACAAAGCTGGGGTTCTTCTCGTCATCGGCGGCGGAGAGAACAAACTTTTGAGAGAACAGAACCACTATCATTGTTTCCCCCCCGGCCGTGCCATTTCTACCCAATCTTTTCTAGTTTTCCAGCTAAGCATGCACATGCCTCGATTCCAACGAGAAAAGAAAAGTACCAAAACATTGCATATACAGTAAATAAATTGATTGTGGGTCCCCATCACTGACCAAATTCTGAACTTGAATCCTTTATGTCTAAATATGGAGTAAAATACGGAGTATGCAGTAAAGTAAAACTACTTGCCTCCACTCACGGGCTGGAATGCAGAGACTGACCCCATGTCTATTTCGCCGCTGCAACACGGCTTAGTATGATGGTCAACCGGCCCGCCTGTAGTCCTAGCATGCTCGGCCAATGATCCCAAAGCTTTTTCTACTGTCCCCAGTCGGCATCATGTGCTCCAATTGGGATGTCCCTCTCAGGTTCATGCTCGACACGAAGTGGATGGATAGATCTGGTCTCTTTGTTCTCGCTCTTCAAGATGGAATTGGATATACTTGACACTTGGCACTCGGCCGGTTGCGAAGTTGTTGATGGGCGGAATTGATTTATGAACCGGCGGAGTACGGAGATGAGCTGGTCGGATTCATCCGTTGGTGGATGAGCAAACTCTGTTGGAGCAGATAGCGTCCCCCACTCTCTAATTTGTCTTGTTAAGTGACAAAAGGCATCCCCTTTCTGCCCGGAAAAAATGGTACGCCGTGAAATGACGCAAGGCAGTGCTGGTTAGCCGCGGGATGGAGCGGTACAGACAACGTCGTTGATAGAGAATGGCAACGACAAGGACAGACGGTCTCACCCCCTGCTTTCTACTGAACCAGAATCAGATCTTAAGTTTTATATTTTGTGCTCTGCCGTCTACTGGGTAACGCAGCTGGACATTGGGTCACCCACGGCTGACTTCTCTGTTCTGGAAATCAGAGCTCAGATCTTCAAACCCTGCCTCGACCTAGCCATTTGGGAGGATGTTGGCGTCCGTACGGTAATCGTCGCTGACGGACCGCCATTGGCTGGAGCGAGGGCACGCGCCTGTCGGCGGCCGTCAATTAGATCCCAGGATGATGGATCTACAACAGATCTTCGGCCATGCTCTCCCGTCGGTCTGCGGTCTCAGGATGAACGATCTGCGGTCTCCCGCGTGCCAACGGCAGATCTGGCTGGATTCACGCAGAGAATCTCAATCAACCCAACCCCAGAGGGTCCGGTCTTACTCACACAGATTTCCACTCGATGACGGCCTGTGGAAGAAGCTCAAATCTTTGGGGCCAAGACGAAGCACTGTTGGTCAACGGAGCACTGCTGGCCGGCGAAGCGGGTATTACCTGCCGGAGTTGGAGCGATGCTGGTCGGCGGGTATCACCAACGGCAGATCTGGCAGTAGGAGGAAAATGCGCTGATCTTTAAGAAGATCTTTACGTCATTCCTATTTCGCCGTTGCAGTATTCACCGGAACAGGAGATTGGAGTGCCTCTTCCTCGTCTGGATTGGGATCCAGACTTTTATTTTGATGGAATTTCCGTGCAGTCTCTCAGGGAGAACGGAAGGATTCACCGCAAGGATGAATCTCTAAAAATGGCAAAAATTTGGTTGAATTTTTTCGAGAGCAGGCTTGATGCGTTCGACACTCTCAATGAAAGCACCATTGTTGGGTTATTGTTGGGTTATGAAACCCAAGGATAGGAGAAGAAGGAGAAAATGTGTAAAGAGAAGAAGAATAAGGATGAAGAAGATGAATAGTGTACCCTCCCTCTTTCCCCCTCCTCTTCCAAGAAGAGGAGTATAAATAAGGGTGGAATCAGGGCTAGGGTTTCGAAGTAATGGGCCGGCCCAACAGACTGGGCCGCCCTAACTAGATAATTAATAAACGACTAATGGGTCGGTCCAACAGGCTGGACCGCCCCAACTAATATTATACGAAGTCCAGATACTCCATGTCCAGGGTATCCATCATGAGTCCCCCACTTTCCAAGCCGAGAAGAACTTGAGGTGAAGTGGAAGTAGAGCAAAAATCCACCACGGAAGGACACCGTCTTCCTTGCTGTCTAGAATGCACCACCAACTCGCTGTCCCGAGCACGGTGAAGTAAGGCAAGCAACGCCATCAGTCGGAAAATGTGATGCCAACTCGCTGTCTAGAGTAAGGCAAAGGGAAAGAAATCTATTCCCTCCTAATAAATTTATTAAACCTAAAAAGACTCTAAAAAGACTAAAGTAAGATCAAAACATTAAAAATATACTAAAATAAGAGTTTCATATTTTAATTTCAAAAATACTCCATGCGTCTCTAAAAACCTTTCTCCTTTCTTTTTTCATACTCCATACGTCCCAAAAAACACTTCTTATTTTTATTAAAAAGTCACTTTTACCCCTTACTTTTTTATACTCTATCTATGACATCACACATTTTTACTAATAATACACCCATCAAATCCTACTTTTACCCATCACATCAAAGGACATTTTTTGGAATTCAATACCAAAATACACTCTCCTTAAATCTCTTCAAAATCAAAACATCCCATGTTTAAAGAGACGCAGGGAGTATTAGTTAAAATATATTTAAATTATCAAACATGACCATGTAGACTATCAAAAGTATAATAAAACGTACATTTACAGTATCATATTACTAGAATATAATGCAAGCTTTTATTTAAGAAATAAAAACATGAAATTTTTATTTCGGTATTTTCTCTATGTTTTACTCTAATTTAGGATAATTTCTTTTTATTACGGAGTAAAACAATATGTAATTGATTTTAATAAAAATAAGTAAAGATAAACTACATAATCTTTTTATTTGATTTCAATAAAAATAAGTAACAATTAGAAAAAATAAGCTAAAAAATTAGTTTTCTATATACGAATAACTAAGCCCATGTTCTCTTCACCAAATCTCAATGATTCTGATTCCATTGGAATAAATGCTGATCTGATTTGGTCTGATTTGATCTAATCTGAATGTTGTTATATTTAAAGTTGGTTCTAATCTGAACTGAACTAATTTTAATAAGAAAAAATAATGAATAATATGAATAAACTGAATCGAGTATGGTCTAGACCTATCCATATACACCCCCCATTTCTTAAAACACTTTTTTTTGTTTTTTCCATAACACGTTCACTTTCTATTAAAAAACTAATTTTACTCCTATTTTTCTTATCCTACCTATCACATCATATTTTTCACTAATAATCTATCACTCATATCTTACTTTTACCATTACATCAAGTATAAAATTGGAAAGTCAACCACAAACATACACTTGTTATTTTTTCTAAAAGTCAGAATAGGAACTGTTTTATGACGGAGGGAGTATGTATTAGTGCGATGCGGCTAATCGGGCGTTTGGGCCAAGCCCTAATGAGAGGCCCAAACGAGTATTGGGGCGTTTGGCATTATGAACTTGCCCGAATAGTCTTTAGTCTTATTAGTTGATAGAATTTAATTTGTTAGTATTATTACTATAATAATAATTGAGAGATACAAAAAATAAACTCCGTATATTGTAGTGATTCCCAACATAAAGAGGAATAAAAAAGAAGGTGATTAGAAATATAGTAATGTTAGAGTCACAAATAAAACATTCATAAAATGCACAAACTTACCCAATATGGAGTAATGTACTAACTCTATCATAATTAAGCTTACTTATACAAAGTAGTACTTATTGTCTAACATCCTCTCAAGCTGATCTACGTGTCACAAGTGAAAGATTGGAGACAAGAGTTTGGAAACGTGTCAATTGGAGAGTTTTAATCAGTAAATCTACAAGTCGATATTCAGAGAAAACATGAGAGACATTCATAGTTCCAGCAATAACTTATTTTTGAACAAAGTGACTGTCAGTACCCACATGCTATATACGCTTGTGAAATGCTGGATTCTTTGTAGAATAAATGGTAGACTGATTATTTCATAAAAGCTCAGGAGTAGAGATTGGAATGTGCAAATCAGTGATAACATAGGTTAACCACATAACTTTAGAAGCAGCAGAAGATAAAACTCGATATTCTGCTTCAGTAGAGGATTAGGACACGCTACTTGTTTCTCCGTGCTCTAGAAAATCAAATTTGGTCCAAGATAAATCAGATAACCAGCAACTGAGCATCCATCAGTCATGTCATTTACCTAACTGGAATCAAAAGAGGTTCTCAACTGCAAATCCCTAGTCTGTAATACAATACCTTGATCAATAGTGCCTTTGATAGTACCCAAGATCATATTTAAGCTCTTAAAGTTGTTCTCGATGAGAGAATGCATACGCTGAGAGACATAGTTCACAATAAACTAAATATCTGGGTGAGTAGTAGTGAGATATTGGAGACCTCCAACAAAATTACGGAACAAATTAAAGTACGATTATGGAAGGGTCGATCCCCCCTCACCTAAGTCGGCCAGCTAAAGTGGCAATGAAGTCACAGTGGGAGTGAAATCCTCTAGACCAGCTCGATGAAGTAGCTTAGTGGAATATTTCTTTTTTGAGATAATAAGAGATGAAGATTGACAAACAACAAACTTCAAGTTTGAGAAAATAATAAAGAGGACCAATGTCTTTAGTCTGAAACTTTTGACACATCTAAGTAGTAAACTTGTGCACAAGAGCTGAAGAACTCGTAAAAATGATACTATCAACATATACAAACAAAATAAGAGTACCAATAAAGCCTTATAAGATAAAGCGACTAATGTCATGTTCATTCTTGGGAAATTCATATGAAAAAAGAAACGCAGAAAACGGATGATTCCAAGCCCTCGGTACCGGTTTCAAGCGACTATAATAGAATATGGTATTAATATTACTCAAAGAATAAATGAGAGACACAAAGAGTATATATAATATGTATTCCCAACATAATCATGAACCATAAATAGAAGCCCTTAAAAATACTAACTCTATCATAATTAAGATTAATAAAAAACTTAGAGAAAAAGACTAAAGTAGGAGTAAAATATTAAAAATATACCAAAATAGAAGTTTCATATTTTTATTTTCAAAATAGGAGTTAAAATACATTTATAATGTCAATCATGACCATATAAATTACTAAAAAATATTGTGAAATATATATGTACAATGTCACTGCATTACCATAATGCGAACTCTTATTAGTAGATAAAAATATTGTGAAATATCTGTGTAAAGTGTCACATTACTATAATGCGAACTCCTATTTTAGTATTTCGTACATTTTTTTTATATTTTACTCATATTTAGGACGATTTCTCAAATACTTATTCTCTAACACTAATTATTAATCTATGTCTCATCAGTCATCACCGCATGAATTCATTGTTTGCTATATCTTTTTTTTTTGAAAGTATTGTTTGCTATATCTTATTAAGCATATCATGCATGATTGGAGCGACGACAACTGTGTCAAGATACTGAAGAAATGCAAAGAAGCAATCTCCGACACAGTAAAGGGAAAGGTGATCATCATAGACATTGTTATGGACAAAAAGAAAGACACTATGACCGAAGTGAAATTGGAGTTTGATATGCTGATGATGGTTTATTTTAATGGCAAAGAAAGGACGGAGAAAGAGTGGGAAAGAATGTTCAATGAAGCTGGGTTCACTAGCTATCATATACATCCAAGTTTTGGCATTTGGTCCCTCATTGAAGTGTTTCCTTGATTATACTGGTGGTATCTCTGAGTATTTATTTAGTTTTGTTTTTTTATAGTCAACTACTTTTTATCTTTGATCTATAATTAAATAAAATTTATAAAGTATGTATTGATTAGATAAAATAACATTTAAAAAAAACTGTGTAAAACGAATCTAATAATATTATATTTATATGAATATTTAATATCAATTTTATTTAATATCAAATTCGTTAATTTTGATTGCAAAAGGTTAAAATTGGAGAAATACTTAGAGGAAGTCGGAGGTTATGGTAACTTTACATGACCCTTCTTGATTTGGAAGATTATTTTATGCCCGAGAAATGTGACTGTAAACAAGATTTTTGAAGGGAAAAAATTAAAGTAGGAGTACAATATTGCAAATATAGCAAAATAAGAGTTTTGTATTTTTATTTTCGAAATAAGAGTTGAAATATATTTACATTGTCAATCATGATCATGTATATTACGTAAAATGACATGTACAATTCTACATTATCATAGTTAGAACTTCTATTTAGGGAATAAAAATATGGAACACATATTTTGATATTTTTCTCTATTTAGGGTGATTTAGTCCTATTTAGGGTGATTTCTTATTTTTGAATTCAATTATTTTAGGAATAATTCACACCAATACTCCCAGATTTGCACGAGTTTACATAAATACTCCGAGATTTGTTAAATGACACTAATCCTCCCAAAATTTTCCTATACTCACAACGTTGCTCCGAGAATTGATTTTTGTTTACTCCTATGCTCCAAATGTTGGGCACTGATGCAAACACAATTCTCGGAGCACCGATGTGAATATAGGAAAATTTTGGGAGCATTGATGTCATTTATTGAATTTCGGAGTATTTATGTAAACTCGTATAATTCTAGGAGCATTGGTGTGATTTTTTCCATTATTTTAAAATTATTCATCTTTGTTTAACATTTGTATATCATTTCCCTCTACTTGTTCGAAATATTAAGACCATCTCCAATTTAATACACTAAACTTAAATTCAAACTCAAAATGCAGTATAAATTAAAAATTTAGTAATTCATCTCCAACTTATTACTCTAAATTTGAACTCAAATTTAAAATATTCATATTTTGCTTTCTTTTCATGGTTTGTAATTTTTAAAAAATACATCAAGCGATAAAGTATATGTAAATAAATACATAAACTAAACAAAATAATTTATGCTACAGCACTAACAAAAGATAAAAGAAAGAATTAAAGAGAAAAAAAATATAACACTCCATTTTGAAACCCATATTTGGGTTGGGAAAGATGAGAGAGTAAAACATTTGTATTGCTATTCATTATGGGGTAGGATTGGAGAGGGAGGTGCTGCAAAACTAACCAATTGCACCACCATTAGATTTGCTGTAACGCTCAAAAACTCGGTCTATCAGAATTATTTAATTAAGAATTATTAATTAATTATTGAGACGGTCCAGAGTTTATTCTAAATATTCGTAAATAAATTATAAGAATTATACTGTTGTATAGGATTCGGCGAGACGAATCCAACGATGCAAACAAATATGAATTCGGAGCAAGTTGGGCCAAAAAAGATATATTATATCAAGGTACTTTATCTAAATTACGGAGCACAAAAACCTATGAGTATATTAGTGCCCTACACGCCTAAAATCACACACGTACGCGGCCCCATACACGTTACTCTCTCTCTCTCTCGACTCCCTTGTTTCCTCTTCTGAATCGGAATTGAAGAACATCGGGAGGAGGAGGAGATGAAGAAGAAGAAGCATGAGGAGGAGGATGAGGAAGATGAAGAGGAGGAGGAGGAAGAAGAGGAAGTGGAAGAGGAAGAGGAAGAAGAAGAAACCATGGCGTGCCAATGCCGTTCGTTAGGTCAATCTCTAGTAGTTTCCTTCGTCAAATTCGAGTTGAGTACGTGAAAATCTAACTTTAGTTACATCTATAGGCCAGGTTTGAATCTTACGTTCGTAGAATCTTTACGAATGATTTACGTGAAACCTACATGTGATAGTTCGTTGGTTTGTGATGGATTTCATTGAACAGAACACATGAATAGGTATGGTTTAATCCTAGTAATGTGGGACAAGGTTAGGAATCAATTTACGAAGTTATTTTTGCTAAATTTTCAAGATTGGGATTGGCTTAGCTACTGAAAATCAAACTAGTGCAGGGGCAATGGTTATCGCGACAGACGGTGTACCAGTACCCCGATACCGCCACAAGCCATTCTGCTTTATCGGAACCTGTAATCGGTTGGTATCTAGGTAGCGGACGGATGGGCTCTGATCCTGGCCGGAAGGGGCCGGTTGATCGGCCTGGAGAGAACTAGACGACAGGGAAGGAGAATTTGGATTCGAAATCAACATGATGGTGAGTGAAGGACTGACCTGGAGATGAAGAAAACGGGTCGGGTTGCAAGGGAAGAGCGAATTGGCAAAGATAGGGATGGAAATGACGTCCATCGGTGGTTTTATTAGAGCAGAGTGGAAGGTGAAGGAGCAGGTTATGATTGCTTTTGAAAGTTATCGTGCCGAACCGCCACACGGATTCAAAGGAACGGCTTGGGTTTGGTGAGAGGATGCATACGTGGACTTCAACAACTCCCCATCCCTCGTGGCCCGCTTGAGGAATGAGGAGTTGGAGGGGGCTTGTGATGGGCCGATACCTGACGGGAGGCCCAAGTCCCGTGCCCAAAAGGCATTCGGGTATCCGCGGGCATGGGGTGCCGATCCTGGGCTGGCCCAAATGCTTGGGCCTGGACTGACCCTAACTAAAGCTGACAAGGGAATCCGAAGTGAAGGAGGAGACGCAGCTAGGTTGTGGGAAAGTAGCCGAAGGAAAGGGATCGCGCGAATTAGTTCCCATAAACTGTAAACTACCATAATTACGTAGAAAGCATGTATAAATAAGGAGGACCTGAAGGGGAAACCTCAAGCTGAACCTAGCATATAATTCCATAATTCTTGAGTTCTCATTTCTTGCTAATTCTTATGATCCGCTGTTCAAGTCAGATTATTTGGTGGGTTTATTGTCCATCACATGGTGCTCTCATCTCTCCGGACGAGCCGGACGAGCCCGGTTCCACAGGCCAAGGGGGCCGAGCCCCGGAGCTCGTATCTCCACAAATTACAATCATAAAAATCTTATAAGTATTACAATCATAATTATCTTACAAGTTATTTAAAATCTCAAGATATTTAGAATTTTAAAATATCCGCACAAATCTAATGATTTTAAATATTTTATGGATTTTGAAAGTGCAATTGAATATATATTTTAATACTTCATTTGTCCATTTTAAATCTTCTCAGTTGACTTTTTATAGTCTTTAATGTAATACTTTGACTATCAATATTATATATATATGTAATATTTCAATACTATGTTTTAAATTTAACTTATTGATATTGAATTTATATTACTCCGGAGTATAATTCAATGTATTTTTTTCTGTAATTCGTATTCAAAATTTTAAAATGAAAGTGAGAAAATTTTTATGTTCTTATCATAAAAAAAATCCATATTTCAAAAAAAAAAAAAAATCCATTGACGAGTATAAAAACCTGTCCAGAAACCTAGAGATTTTGACAAGCCACCATCTCTTCCGCAAGACCTTCCGGGCTTCACAGCCTCCACTCCTCGACGGCTGCTCATTCCATCGCCAGTTGGCAACTTTCCGGCAAGAGGTTCTCTTTCTTCTTAATTGTGCTTTTTATATACTCTCTTTCAACCAATTGGGCTTAGATTAAAAAAATTGATGTTGGATTGTTGGATCAATAAATTTTAGAATCAAAATTCCATCGCCGGCGGTCGTCTCTGCTTCAACTTCTTAGTTCCTCCTGACCTGATCAATTGTTTCGAAGCTTATGGAGATGAAGTTAGGAGCTTGCCTTAAATCTAACTTCAACCAAACATCGCTTTTTCTCTGCCAACCCATTAATTGCCAGAATACTGGCTACCGCCGTTCGTGTTTATCTAGTACGAGTACTGCCCATACGTCTGTGCGCTGCAGGGCAACTGCTGAAATGCATATCAAGAACAGCTCATTTGGAACAGTCGAAAAGGTAGCATCTTTTTTTAATCTCATCATGCTCTGAAATTTTCTGTTATCATAACCACTTCAATGTTTAAGAAAAATTCCCTCCGTGATTCCGTCCTATCCGTCCAAGAATAAGCATCCACACTTGAACATTGGACCCAGGATGTTCGGGGAGTGGGTTCACTTTTCGTACTGAGAAATGCTAGTCACAAACACTTCGATCACAAAATACACAACCCTACTATTTGTGCACCTCACCAAGTGAATAAAATGATGCTAAATAATTAAAAAGTAAACATTTAAATACACAAATGGTAAGTTTGTGTATTTTGTGATCAAAGTGTTCGTGACTCTAGCATTTCTTTTGTACTTGATGGACACATAATTTCTAATAGGTTGGTACTTTTTTATTCCGTAGTTTAATAAAAATGGCAAGTACAAAATAAAAAATTGCACTCGTGTAAATAACAACCCAGTAATGTATGAAAACAATGTTTAATTAACACATTGGCTCCCTTCTTTTGAAAACAATTATTGTTGTCATAACATGAATAAAGGGCTCTGTGTCCCATTTGAAAAATAAATGGTTACTATGTCTTAACCCCCCCTGCACCCTCCCCAAAACACCGATCGGCCAATTGGCATTTTGGGGAGGGGGGCAAAGGGGTGTTGGGGTGGTGTGCAGGGGGGCATGAGGGGTTAGGGGATAATAACCATCACTTTTTTGAATGGAGCAACGTGGCTCTTGTTGTCATATAATGAAATTATGAGTTGTTGTCAAAAGAACCGTAGTTTCAACACATAGTATTATAACAACGTATTAGCATTAAAACATCAAATTGAACAAATTTTGCTAAAAAATACTCACTGTTAAGATACACACAAATTACGGAGCACTACAAAAGAACCGTAGTGTTAACACATAGTATTATAACAACCTATTAGCATTAAAACATCAAATTGAACAAATTTTGCTAAAAAAAATACTCATTGTTAAGATACACACAAATTACAGAGCACTACTATATAGTATACTAAATTACTAAGTAAAAAAAAATTAGTGGGGTCAAGTGACCCCACTGGATCCCCCTAGGTCTGCCCTTGCACTTGAATTGAATTGAAATTGTATTTAGAAAGTTTAGATTGCATGGATAGAGAAATACTGATTAATAAGTAACACCCACTTCTTTCATTTGAAGGCATGTTGAATTTTATTTTGGTATAAACAAAAATAAAAATGTGTAACATTTTCCCACTAAAGCGGGAGCATAAAATTGATGAATGGCTCCATTTTAGTTCTGCCTGCAGCTGAAATGTCGATCTAAAATAGGCCCATATATTGGAATGTTATCATCTTGCTCCATTTGCTGAGGCTATCCATTTTCAGCACTTGATTTATGTTTCTTTTTTATTAAACAGGTCAAAACGTCTGCTGATAATTCTTTTGATCTGGCACTATCAAGTTTAACAGCTCTATGCCCGTTGGATGGCCGGTATAGGGACAAAGTTAAGGACCTGGCTCCGTTCATGAGCGAGTATGGCCTCATTCGCTTTCGAGTTTTGGTTGAGGTGTTCCACTTTCTTTGAATTGCTTTTCATGGTGTGTTTCATGCACTTTTTGGTGAAATGGATGTATATGAAATAATGATATCATTTGGTGGCTCTCTGTTTCTGTTGATGGTATAAGCCTTGCTATGTGATTCTATTTATGTTTTTTGTGGTTTTTGCAAGTACAACAGCAGGCCCAATTAAGTCCCACAAAAAGTAGGGTCTGTGAGGATGTTTTTGCAAGTATTATGTAATATTTGTAGTTACTACTTTTTGTTAATATTAATCTACTAAAAATATATAAAAAGAGTGGGATATTATATTTCAAAGTATTAGTAAGTGCACTCACATTTGTTGTTCAATTTTTGGTTTAAACTTTAATTTATGTCCATTACTCCATTTCATCAAGTATTTGCTTTATAATTTTCAACTCTTGCTGTGACTTTTGTCTTCTCTATAGTCAATAAATGAAACACATATATTTTTTTTTGTTCCAGGTTAAGTGGTTGTTAAAGCTTTCAGAAGTTCCAGAAATCCCTGAAGTTCCTAATTTCTCTCCCAGAGCAAAGTCATTTCTGCATGGCTTGATTGATGGGTTTAGCTTGGACGATGCCATGGAAGTGAAGGAAATTGAAAAAGTGACTAACCATGATGTTAAAGCAGTGGAGTACTTCCTGAAACAAAGATGCCAATCACATGAAGAAATTTCGAAGGTATATTAAGTATTTCAGTTGTAGAAAAGTTTTTATGTGTATGCTTGTACAAAGAATGCTTTAGTAAAACAATGCTTCGTGACCCTGAAATATAAATGAACTAAACAAGGTATACAAATTTGTTAATCAAAGATTGGGTTATCTTCACAAACCTGACTCAAGCTTTGTGTCTTTGGATGGAGTATTATTCTGTATATATTTAATTTAATTTCCATGTGAGCTGATTTTTTTTAAAAAAACTTGTATTTATTTTTGTCTAGGTGCTTGAGTTTTTCCATTTTGCATGCACTTCCGAGGACATCAACAATCTAGCACATGCATTAATGCTAAAAGAAGCTATAAACAGTGTTATATTGCCTGTCATGGATGAGCTGATTACAGCAATCACTAACATAGCCACACAGACTGCTCATGTCCCAATGCTTTCTCGTACCCATGGGCAGGTAAATGCTTGTGTGGCCTTCTTTTCATAGTGCTGAAAATTTGTTAATTTGTACATTATAAGATTCTAATTATTTTAAACAGATTCAATGTTACCTTATCTTGAAAGAAACTCTAATCTAGTATGTTGTAGCCAGCTTCACCAACAACGCTAGGCAAGGAGATGGCTATTTTTTCATATCGGTTATTTACAGAGAGGCAGGAGATTTCAAAAATTGAGATGAGAGGGAAATTTGCTGGTGCAGTTGGAAACTATAATGCACATCTAGTTGCATATCCTGATGTAAACTGGCCACAAGTGGCAGAAGACTTCGTAGCATCTCTTGGCTTAAGCTTCAATCCGTATGTCACTCAGGTATGTTTTATGAAAAATATCCCCTTTGGAAATTTTGGCATCAAGGATTATGATGGAAGGGAAGTAAATCTCTTTGAGGCTCCGATGTTGTGTGATATGGTCAATATTATCATAGAATTATTATTAATATTTATTATTATTAAATGTCATTAATAATAATATTATTAGTAAGATTATTATTATTAATGGTATTAATAGTTCACTATTATAATTAACAGTAGTTTCTTATTAGTATTAATTCTATCCTCTATATAATAAGGCAATTATCATCTATTATGCTTATTATGAAATAATGAATTCAAAATTCTTTCTTTATTCTTTGAGCCGATTGGCTCTCTCCTAGGTTCTTGCATGCGTAAGCTTTGTTCTAGAAACCCTAGGCCGGAATTCTTCCTCGATATGTATCACGTGCCGATAACATGGATTACTAGCACCAAACATACACTGCATGTGTTTAGTGGGTCTAGGGCTTGCAGGGATGTTTGATCTTATGTGGACTTGGTTATGATGGCCCATTTATAGTGCTTGCTTTTATTTATTTGCCTATCTTCTTGTCATTCCTCTTTGATTTTTTTCTTTTGAACTGCATTTGCTCTACCCTCATGGGTAGTACTAACTACTAAGGTTTGCGTACATCTTACCCTCCCAAGACCCCACTTGTGAAATGCTTAGGGTTCGTTGTTTCTTATCATGTCACATATGAAAATGTAAAACCAATATGATTATGCCTAGCGATCTTTTTATATATCATTTATCAATTATAATTGAATCTTGAGATAATGGTATGTTTTCTAGTGATGGAATAGGTGTAGTGGTTTGCATTACTGAAACATCGTATATGCAGAAGCAAGGGCGAGGGGTTTGACTATTTTATCTTACCACTCAATGGGTTTTGTAATTCATGGGCTTTATGCATTCTATTTACCATTTACCATTGCAGTTCGTTATTTGACTTTATTCTGTTCTGTTCATTATGTCTTTTGAAACATTTATATTAGATTATGTGCTTGATCCTTGGCTTACTCTCTCTACTCATTATTGATGGCTTCTCAAATGATGTGACTATAGGTGAATTTATGTTGTCCAGTATTTGTTGACCTTGGGACAGTTTAATTGTATGGCTTTTCAATGATGCAGATTGAACCTCATGACTATATGGCCAAACTTTTTCATTCAATTATCCAATTCAACAACATTTTAATTGATTATAATCGAGATGTTTGGGGATACATTTCCTTGCGATACTTCAAACAGGTTCGTCCTTCATTCAATTTGATGTTGTCGTACCACTTCCTCTGGTCCCATATTCTACTCAATTCTTTTTGGGAGGGAGTTGCTGGGAATGCATTATGTATTTGTCTTGAACAATATAAAGAAGTACGGACTACGGAGTAATACTCATTTCATGTTTTGAGCAGATAACTAAAGCTGGCGAAATTGGATCTTCAACAATGCCTCACAAAGTGAATCCCATTGATTTTGAGAACAGCGAAGGAAATCTAGGAGTTGCTAATGGAAACCTTTCACATCTTAGCACAAAGCTACCTATTTCGCGGTGGCAGGTACACTATACTTGTCCACTTTTAGTGGTAAAATAAAAGCCTTTCTGATGTAGCATAATAATTTGTTGGGCATGAATTCTACGAGCCCACAAATTTTTTGTGTGGATAAATTTTCTCAACTCTCAGAAATAGATGTGATATGAAAGCTGAAAAGTGACAAAAAATTTATTGAAAGGGGAAGTAACCTGGGAGAACTGTTTGTTAAGGAACCAAAGATGACACCTCAATGAGAAGTTGCGGAGGGGATGGAGAAGTCATACCGATTTTTTTCGAAAGTGTTTGAAATAATTTGATATACACTATCTCAGTAACTTAAACCATTTCACCTATTTTAAAAAGACACGTGATCTATGTGCTGAGCTCTTTAATTTTCTCTTTGATTCACTTAGCCACTCAGGTTTCTCTTTTGTTCCTTATATAATTGCACTTTCTGAATATTTTGATGCGCAGAGGGATTTGACAGATTCTACGGCTCTGAGAAATATGGGAGTAGGGTTGGGGCATTCACTTCTTGCATATAGAAATGCATTACGCGGAATTGCAAAGCTTCAGGTAAAAACACCATTCCACGTTCCAACATAATTGTTTATCTTTGAGTACTCTGACAATTCAAAGTTTGCTTAAATCATGGTCACTGGCTTTGCTTTGGGCAGGGGCAGAGATATCTTGTCATTAGAAATTGGGCTGATTTAAAAAATAAGTTAATATTGAAGCATAGAAACAGTTAAAGAAGATACCGAACCTAACCAAACAATCCGAGTACATCCCACTTACACTATGTGTGGTTCAAGGAATTTGGAAGGGAAAAGAAAAGAAAGAGGGTGAGAAACAACTTTTCTTGTTTGGTTAGAGAGGAAAAGAAAAGAAAAGTAGAAGGAAAAGAAAATGACAGAAGAAAATGCACTTAGAAGAAGGAAAAAGATTTTCCTTCTGTTTTGGCGAGGAAAATGAGAGACAGCTCTTTTACTTTTTTCATTTTCTTTCGAATTCCACGAACCAAGCATAGTGTTAGAGTAGCATCTAGCATTGGTGGGTGGATAGGAGATGTACGTATTCTCTATGTCTACCCCACGAGGTAGTGCGACTGTTTCCCGCCATGATAAACAGTGACAAGTAGTGTGGAAAATGTACCATAATTATTTTGCGTTGTACTTTGTTAGTGCTTTCAATGTCAAGGAACCAGATAATGCATATCCTAGAGTCTTAGAAATTTCTCACGTGTCTATTTTATTTTCATGTTGTTTTTGGAGGGACTTGATTGAATGGAGCTCATCCTTTTAAATTCTATACCATTCATACCCGGGACTGGGGTGAGGTGGTTGTTCATGATGCTTTAATTCGACTTCAATTTCTAACTGAGCTAATGAAATATATCACATCTTATGATTTTTCATTATCTGTAGTTTGATTGTCACCCGTCTAAAGTTTTGTTTCCAAATCAACGGTTTGGTCTATTACAGGTCAATGAAGCTGCCTTGACAGAAGACTTGAATCAAGCATGGGAGGTTCTTGCAGAACCTATACAAACTGTATGAATCTTGTTCTCTTACTTTAATATATTTGTCTTAGTCATTGTAATATACAGGTGCTTTGACCGCGATATTTCACTAAAAGTTTTTTCTTGTTTAGAATCCGGAAACTCATTTTTCCCTTTATTATTCCTTTACAAATCTAAGCACTTCATTTTGTGCTATATTGCCATACAGTTATACTCCCTGTCTAAAAAAAAGTCTTATTTGAATACCTATTTTTATCCCAAAAAGGGTAATTTGAATTACTCGTATATCTTATGTTTCTTCATTATGTGTTAAATATTGTTAAACCTACAATTTAATTTAAAGAAACATAGCTATAATTAATGATCTCCCATAGCTGTACTTTACTAAAAAACTGTATCTTTGTGAAAAGAACTCTGTTTATGGGATGGTAGGAGTAAAGATGAACAAAGCCTAATTTCTAAATTTGGCTTGTTACAGGTGATGCGAAGATATGGCGTCCCCGAGCCTTATGAAAAATTGAAAGAGCTAACCAGGGGGAGAACAGTGACAAAAGAAAGCATTAGAGAGTTCATTGAAGGTCTGGAAGTACCACACATTGCAAAGACAGCTCTTTTGAACCTAACACCACATACATATATCGGCGCCGCTGCTGAATTGGCCAACAACACCGAGGCCATTGCTAAATCTTGCAACGCATCTGCTCGTAGGATCTAAGCATCTTCTTCTCCGAGGTAGTTTTGTTGTTTCGGATGGTAGCATTCAATTTTTTGTTTTCTGTGAAATACAGATGAGGAAGTTTTGGGTTGTATCCTCACTCTTAGAGGGTGTTTGGGTGTGCTTAATTTTTTTTAAAAAATTGATTATTTTGAAAAGGAAGTTTAATGAGTTTTATCTTTTGAAGTGTTTTTAGTACTATGGTTAAATCCATAATGGAAAGAGAGTTCTGAAGTTATAGCTGATCATCTAAAACACATACAACTATCTAACATAATGCCGAAACACAATGAGCTTGTTTGGAAATAGTGTTTTCGATAAGCGTTAGCGTTTTGATTAAAATTTAACGGGAGTAGATTAGTTTAGAAAAAGCTACTTGTAGATAGCTTTTTCAGAATGTTAACGCTAATCTCTAACGGTACAAACTATACTATATTAAACTTTATTTAATTTATTTTCTTATTTTCATTACTCATTTGATAAAATAATGTTTCATGTCACCTCTTACTTCGTAAAATTTTTGATCTAGTTTTTGAATATGTAAATTTTATGTTTAATTTAAAGGTAATTCTCAAATAATTGTTAAATTTTAGTCACACATCAGATATCAAAATATTACTCCCTTCGTCCAAAATTAAAGTTCTCACTTTTCTTTTCAGTCCGTCCATAAATAATGTTCCCATTTCCTTATTTGGCAAAATTTTAAGTGTAAAATGACTAAGATACCCTTATCTTTTTTTCATTCTCATTTCTTACATCCATCCATCTTCAACCTTATCTTCCTTCCTCCGTCCTTTCCTTCCCCACTTTCTTCTTCTTTTTCTTCATTTCTTCTTTCCCTTCTTCAATTCTTTTTCCCCTTCTTCAATTCTTCTTCTCCTTCTTCCTGCTCGTCACTGACGTACAAGTATAATATTCTCTCAAACTTTTCAACTTCTTTCTCTTCACTTTAATCAAGTCTCGTACACTATTCATCGCAATTGAACAGCCCTGATTCCTCTGGATTTTCTTGTGTTATTGATACGATCTTTTGAGCTCTTTGATCGTTTTGGACCGAGGAATCCCTTCCTCAGTTCAATTTCCTGAGTACGGTGCTGGATTGGACAAGAATCACAGGCCAACCATTTCGGTGTACTGTTCATCCGCGACAATGGTTGGTTCAATCAACCTCTGTTCAAGCTCGTTTTGAAGGAAATTTATGGGGGATTATGGGCGACTTGGGATGCTCATTCAAGGACTGAAGCTGGATTTCCATTCCAATTGATGCCTCCTTCGATTTGAGCCAAACTTAGATTTCGTGTCACTGTTCACAGTGGTGGTTTGCAGTCCATGTTTAACCATGGTTTTGGCCTGTTTTTTCTCCCGTTTTTGGATATTTTGGTCATGACTCAGGGGCCTTTCAAGTAATTGTGTCGGATTGGTGATTCAATTAATTTGGTTTGGCTTCCTTGATTTTGTTCTTCGTGGCACTGTTTATGTTCATCAGTACCTCTTGCTGTTTTTGCTGAGATCTGGGCTTGGGAGGAGGAATCAAGGCAGGAAGGCTGGCTGAGTGAAGGAGGAGGGGTATTTTGGGAAAGTCAACCACAATTTTACTTTACCTAAAACTGCGTGCCCGGTTAAAGTGGGAACATTAATTTTGGATGGAGGGAGTAGAACAGAGGGAGTATTACTTTCTAAATTGTACTCCGTACAATTTTATAAAATTGTTTTTAGATTCAATAAATGAAAGCAATACGATTTTACAAACTAGTTTTTTTATTCAATAAATGAAAGCAATGCTCCTATAGTCCTATACATATTTTTTGAAAACACCAATGCTCCTATAACCGATATACTCTCCTTTGGTCAGGTGAAGGGAATGAACTAACGATTAATATTGTATAATTAGAGTCAATGAAGCAATGGTGATTGTTGGGTCATACTAATGTGCCACCACATGGATGTTATAGTGGGTGACATTTTATACAGCTAGACACAGACAATAATTGTCTGTACGACACAGACAATTAACATCTGTCTTTGTTTGTGCAAATCATAAGGGCACCCATCGTATCATCCATGTGGTGACATCCTATCTTTATTTAGGGCTGTAAACGGATAACCGAAAATTCGATTACCGTCCGCATCCGTATCCGTTTATATGGAAAATATCCGCATCCGTTAAAAGCGATTATTATCCGTATCCGATTAAGGATATTCGATTGCTAAACGGATACGGATTTGGTAATCATACATCCGATCCGTTTATAATCCGCTCCGCATTGACATCCGTTTAAATACCCGTTTATCCGTATATCCGATCCGTTATATATAGTCTTTCCTAATTTTTTATTTTTACATTTTGTTTCTCTATAGATATCTCAAAGTATAAGACATTTTTNCTAGAATATCATAAACTATAAAAAATAAGAAAATTAATATCCCATAAAAATTATAGTTGATTTAATAATATTTTAATTTAGTTTAATTGAAAATTCAAGTATTGTTTAATTTAGTTTTAAAAATTGGAAACGGATACGGATATATCCGATATCCGACCGATATCCGACGGATGCGGATACGGTTTTGATTTTTCAATATCCGTCTAGATCCGTATCCGAATTCGATATCCGACAAAAATAAACGGATGCGGATTTGGTAATGGCACATCCGATCCGATTAAAATCCGTTTACACCCCTATCTTTATTTTATTTTATTACGAATCAATAAAATTGCATAACACATTCACAACGCTTTGTTATGAACCAACAAGATTGCAACTTTTAGTAGATCTGTATTTCTTTTTACATGAGAAAGATTTTTCTAGATTATGTTCAACCCCCTCTATGTTCAACTAGTGCATAACTCGTGCGATATATAGAGAGATAAAGTTTATCCTAATTGCAAAAATAAATGAGAACATTTGTAACTAGATATTATTTAATAAATAGTAGATATGTCCATCTTCTGTTTATATATATTATACTCCGTAATTCATTTAATTTTAAATAGACCTACTAACGGAAAGAATGTGTTAAAGTATACTATATCCAATACATAATATTCGAATGAAGTAAAGTAAACAATGTCAATTAACATCAATCATGCATTCTCAAAAACCTCCTTATAAACTACATTAATTGTAGTATTAAATAGGGTATTTTAAGAATCACGTATCATTATTTTTAATCTCTCGTGAGACCGTACCCTAGACATGGCCATATATAGTTGTCCGTGACTGAAAACAGATTTTTTTTAAGAATAGGCAAACATGAGAGAGCTATTGCCCCTGACTTTTGTTTATGGTCATCGCATATGATACCGTAACCGGAAATTGTCTTCTTCGAAACTTAAATGGCAATCTGGTATCTTATAGAGTCAATGAAACTCGCGGTAAAAACTGTTTGTCCTGCATCTTTTCCACAAATCATCTTTGCTTCCAAAAGATGGTTACGAAGTCTTGTAATAATTAAACATGTTTCATTGCACATATCATTATCATGAACAATGTAACGCAAAAACATTATCGAAGTCCCAACATTAAGGGGCTGTTTGGTAACTTCTGAATAGGTAAGTGCGGAACTAGTAAGAG